GTTTTTGCTAATGGCTTTGATGTAGAAAATTTAGACAGACACACTTTCAGTAGTTGATCAAAGAACTCATCGAGGTCTGGGAACAAGAACAGAGACAGCCAGTTATTACGGGCTGTCAAGCCTTTCTTGCCAGGATGGGTTGGTGACCAAAGGTGATGATTAATTTCTTGTATCCATTTCTGCCCTCAGCTTCCTGATATGATTTAATAAAAAAAAGCTGTTGATGAGTGTGCACTCACCCTGAGGATTTAGAGTATAGATGTCATTGTTTTTCATATATAAAAGTTTAGATTTGTGGTTCTTTTAACATTTTTTATAAGATTATCTTTTGAGATAATTACCTTTTGAGATAAATAATAAAATGATTGATGGTTTCTTTGTAACCACAAAATGCAGCCTGCCAGTAAAGGAACTGACTGGGAAAATTACCTTGCTTGCTTACACTCTGTTAATCTATAACAGGTTGCTTGGCCATGGATACATGCGAGTACTTGGGAATGGTTTGCTTTTCACTTGTAATAAGTAAAATGTTTGATCATGTAAGAGACATGAGAAACACACTGCCTCTTACTTGTAGTCATTGTAATCATTCACTTAAAACATAGGATGTAACCACATTGTCATTTTTTTTTTTTTTTTGGTTTTTCGAGACAGGGTTTCTCTGTGGTTTTGGAGCCTGTCCTGGAACTAGCTCTTGTAGACCAGGCTGGTCTCGAACTCACAGAGATCCGCCTCCACATTGTCATTTTTATATGGCTTGAAAGATTTTGCTGGGGTACAGAAGCTGTAAGGGAAAAATAAAGAGAGTTAGGAGGAAGACACCAGGAAAGACGTAGAAGGGGAGGTGTGGAAGGAAAACACTGGAGAAACGTGAAAGGGAAAAAGTAAAGAAGAGAGACCCCGACGTGTTGAAGGGGTGTGTGTTCCCCCTTTTGCCAGCCCCAGAAAACTGAGTTTCGCTCCTTCAGAGAAAAACGTCGACTTTAAAATGTAACTGGTGAATCTATATTTGATTAATCATTGCTTTTACATTTTATTAAATCTTATATTTCTAATCCTATCTTCAAACTGGCTTAATGTTTATTTTCCAGAAGGTTATTTTTTTATTTATTTATTGAGAAAAAAAAAAGTTTCCGCCTCCTCCCAGCCTCCCATTTCCCTCACCCTCTCCTGCCCCTTTCCCCCTCCCCTCACTCCTCTCCCCCTCCCTCTCTTTCCAGTCCAAAGAGCAGTCAGGTTCCCTGCCCTGTGGAAAGTCCAAGGTCCTCCCCTCTCCGTCCAGGTCTAGGAAGGTGAACATCCAAACTGGCTAGGCTCCCACAAAGCCAGAACATGAAGTAGGATCAAAACCCCGTGCCATCAGCCCTCATTGTTCGCCATGTTCAGAGAGTCCAGTTTTATCCTATGTTTTTTCAGTCACAGTCCAGCTGGCCTTGGTGAGCTCCCAATAGCTCAGCCCCACTGTCTCAGTGGGTGGGTGCACCCCTCCTGACTTCCTTGCTCATGTTCTCCCTCCTTCTGCTCCTCATTGGGACCTTGGGAGCTCAGTCCGGTGCTCCAGTGTGGGTCTCTGTCTCTATCTCCATCCATCCATCGCCAGATGAAGGTTCTGAAGGTTATTTTTGAAAAATATTTTTAATTATAAATTTTTATTTGTGTGGTGAGTTTATGTGTGCCAAATGAAGGTGCCCACTGAGGCCAGAGTGTGTTGGATCTCCTGGGACTGGATTTATAGGTGGTTGTGAGCCACCTGATGTGGGTGCTGGGAACTGAACCCGAGTCTTCTTCTGCAAGAGCGATCTGCACTCTATAGTCAGGCTTTTTGGGGGGCCACCAGCTCACAAAAAAATGACATGGAGACTTATATTAATTATACAAGCTTGGCCCTAGCTTAAGTTTATTTATATCTAGCTCTTATAACTTAAATTAACACATTTCTATTAATTTACTTTCTGCCTTGTGGCTTCATTGCCTCATCTTTATACTGCCCAACCTGCTTCCTCTGCATCTCCTGGCATCTCTGCCTTCTTCCCAGCATCCTCTCTGCCTGCAAATCCTGCCTTGCTGCCTTGCTGCTGGCTCTTCAGCTTCTTATTAAACCAATCAGTGTCACATCATCACAGTGGACAGAAAGATTATTCCACAACAGACCCTTACCTGATGAGCCACGTCTCCAGCCCCTCTGGAGATATTTTAGAGCTACAACTTCACAGTAACCTGCAATTTTGGCATACGTGTAAACTTTTTTTGAAACATTGTATTGCTTTTGAAACATACATACAAGTAATTTGATGTGGACTGAACGGTTATATTTAGGAATATGTATGTATATACATATATGCATACTGTGGAGGCCCAAAGAGGCCAAAGGTCAGAGAGTTTGAGATTATTGTGCTTCTAACTCAAACAGAGGTCCCACTTAGTTGTAAATCAGAGTTCTGCTCTCTCAAGGCTGTTGTCGGCACGTGGCTATTTGCCAGACCTCATGCTCCTGAGATAGGGAAGTAGTTGGTTTCTACCTAAAACAAAGTCTAAGGATCCAACTAGGTTCTAGTTCCCTTTTATGGAAATAACTTGGGGTTCCAGCCAGGGAGTGGTTTGCCCACACAGTGTTTGGTCTAGGGCATGAGTCAAGGGCATGAGAGATGAATGGACCCCATGACTTTGAATTTGTATGTTAATGCCGTTCTTTTGTTCTGCTCCTACCATTTGAAATCAGGGGTGTATTAAGCTGTTGGAAATTAAAAAGGGACGGATTTTCAGTACTCACTGAAATTCCCTCCCCATACTATCCTATATGTTTCTGCATTTTATTATTTTTGTTTGTGTCTTTGTATTCTTTACCGTATTTCTAAATTCTCGCGCCTCCACTCTGGAAGAAAGGTAATCTTGTCGAGGCTTGCCCCGACAGCATACGATAACAATTACTGAAAGAAGAAGAGGCCACGAATTTGCAGGAGAGTGGGGAGAGGAATATGGAAGAGTTTGGAGGAAGGAGAGGGAAAGGAGAAATGTCTCAATTATATTATAATCTCAAAAATAAAAACTTAAAATAAAAAATTGTGGAAATTGTATAGTTACAGTCATATGATTAAAAATATTAAAAGGTCAAAAAAAAAAAAGGCGTGACTTTAGAAGTCCCTTTCCCACAAAGACAAGCAGTGGGAATCAGCAAGACAGAATTGAACAGTGACAATATAACCTCAGTGCTCAGAAGGTCCCCAGAATGCAAGCCAATGACAGATATTTGGGGATGGGTTAAGAGCAAGACCCAGGCTACCGTCACCCACAACCACTAAACTGTCTCCCTGTGAGTTATGGGGAGTTCTTCCACTTCTGTAGTCCATCACCTTGGGGAAGTCATGGCAGAGTTTATGGAGTGGCAGCTTGAGCTGGGGCTTAGTACCGGGCATCAACCGGGAGGCTGAGCGCTGGGGAGGGCCGTCTGGAACCCACAAGCCTCACCCCTACAGCCCTGTCTGCTAGGTCCTATGCTCTAAAGATTCTAAAGCCCCCAGCACTATATCCTTTCCTGGGATAAAATGTAGAAAATATTCAAGCCATGACAGATTCCATTGAGTTCTATTAGAAAAGCAAACTGATTTGATGGTTATTAAGTGGGGGTGGGGGAAAGACAGACTTAACTCCCCTTTTGCCACATGGTGCCAAATTTGGTAAATAGGAATGTTACCTGAAACTTCTCTCCCACTCCTGAAGAGCTGAGAAATCCCAGGATGTTCAGCAGCTGTGGGATCCTGACGTCCCTTGAATGTCTTATGGCCTGTGGTGGTTTGAATGACAATCACCCCCATAGGCTCATCTACTTGAATGTTTGTTTCTCGGTTAGTGGACTGTTCAGGAAGGATTAGGAGATGTGGCCTTGTTGGAGGAGAGATCACTGGGGGTAGGCTTGGAGGTTTTAAAAGCTCAAAATCCGGCCACAGAGTTCCTCCAATCCTTGGGTTTGTCCCAAGATCAGACCACATAATCCCTCCAAACCCAGTCCATCCTGGAAAGTTCTGCCCCACCCTCCAAGAAACGCTATATAAAGCCCGTCTTCTGCTCAGTTTTCTGCTGTTTCCTGTCAGACAGAGGCAGTCACCCTTCCTCCCCGGGTCTTAAATCTTGTGTGAGGTTTGTTGTGTGGTGTGATTTCGTGGTTTTCCTCGACTCCCAGCTGCCGGGATACCGTTCCCGTCTTAGCTGTAACACTTGCCCGTGCCAGGTCTAGTCTTCCACTCCCGCGCTGCCTGCACCTTGCAAGTCAGTTCTCAGCTACTGTTCCAGCCCTGTGCCTGCCTGCCTGCCTGCCACGACCCCACTCTGATTAAATACTTCCTCTTATAAATGCTCAATTAAATGCTTCCTTTTATAAATTGCCCCGGGCATGGTATCTCTTTGAAGCAGCAGACCAGTAACTAGACAGGGTCCTCACTGATCGGCCTCCTGTTCATCACCCTGATTGAGCAGAGGGGACTGTGCTATTTTATCCCTAGGGATCAGTATTGCCCCCTCCCCCACCAAAGCAAATGGGAAATGCATAGTGCGGTGCCGCGGTGCCGCTTAGCTAGCTGGTTCGTAGGTGATTCCTCAGCCTGATGTTGACCAGGGGAAGGGGAGGAGCCATAATTCTCTCTGGTGGGAGGCAGACCTGGCAGATGGCAGGGTTTTCCTTTTGTATGTTGCAGAATCTTCCGGATTTCCTGTCTGTCCCCCTCACAGGTGACTCTGGCTTTCTGGGAGTTATTCCTTTTCTAGACTTCCCTTTCAGGGGCAGATAAGCATGGATCCCCACCCCCTCACGGTTAGAGTTGATGCCATGTTTATTTTCTGGTCTTGAGGAAGTGAGTCAGTTAAATTTCCAACTGAGAATCAACAGTTGTTGATTGTATACAATCACGTATTTCTTGATATTTCCTGCTCATTTGGTCTACTCTTTGAAACTTCCTGTTGCTTAAAAGACCCATAACAAAAGAAAGCCCTATGGCGACGACACTTCGTTACTCTATCTCATTTATTAGCTTCATAATTGTTGCCATTGTACCATTCTGTAAGCCAGAACTATGGCAGAGGGCAAGTAGTTTTAAAGAGAGCGAAGAAAGGTAGGTCGGTTGCTTTACTTTTTCCCACGCCTGACTCGAGGGGAAAGTCACGCATCCTCGCAGCTTGTGGAACAGCCGCCGGATCTTTATTAAGCTGGCCAGCAGCAGAAGGTCATCTCCACTCACGAACCGCAGGGCTGGGAGCTCCTCTGGTTTGTAGTACTTGTGGGCAAAGAAAGAGAGGGGCTGAGCTGAGTATCCAGGAGCAGGACGGGCAAAGGGGAGGGCCAATTGGAGTTGGGACAATGGGACCATTTTCCTCTGGAGAAGGAACGGAACTGCCCTGCTGTCGCATCAGCCATGGTAAACTTAATGAATGCCTGAGTCTCAGTAGTTTACCCTGAGGTAGCTTTGCTTGCTCAAGCGCATAGCCAGTGCCAGGTGCCGCGCGCGTGGTATTTTACGTTTTCCCAGTCGCCTCCCAGCAACTGCGAGGAGGCAGGAACCATTCATTCATTCCTTAGCTTATAGTTGAGAAACTGAAGCTCGAGTTCACTTGTGTGACCAAGGGGCAACTGCACGCTGCAACTGGATGTCTAGCTTCTTAACCCCTGAGTTATGGCCGACATGGACTGTGCTTTGATCAGGTCGGGGCAAAGCACCAGAATAAAGGTCGCGGAGAGAGCCTGTTCTATCCTTACGGAGCTAATTGTTAGTGGGGAAGGCAGCCATGATGGTAAGAGAGGCAAGCCCGGCTCAGCCAGTATTGGGGAGAGACAGGTTCACGGGCAGCTCAGTAAAATGTGGTAAAATGAATACTTGGTAAAAACCTGGGCAGTCTAGCGGTGTCTCCAACATGATTAGAACCGGTTTCCTGGCCCAGGCTAGAGCTTTCTGCCATAGCAGAGAGGAAACAGAAACCTCAAAACACAAACTATAAAACAAAGTGGCCAAGGCAGGTGATGCCGTCACACAGCGAGCTCTTGGTTCGTGCTGCTGGGATTTAAGTCTGAACTGAAAGGGATTTTAAGAGAGAAGAAAATGTAAGGTTCGCTTCAGTAACACAGGGCACCTTCACTGTGAATTCCAAGAACTCTCAGTGGACACATTAGGCATCCATCTATCCCATCAGTAATCAGATTAGCAAAATTATTTTACTCTTAAAATCTAAATGATTGGCCGGGCGGTGGTGGCGCACGCCTTTAATCCCAGCACTCGGGAGGCAGAGGCAGGCGGATCTCTGGGAGTTCGAGGCCAGCCTGGTCTACAAGAGCTAGTTCCAGGACAGGAACCAAAAGCTACGGAGAAACCCTGTCTCGAAAAATCAAAAAAAAAAAAATCTAAATGATTGAAACTATTTTTCTAATGCGCTTACCCTTACTTTGGTCCCAACGCTGATTCTCGCCTGTTGGCCCATTGCTAGAAAATTAATGGAGACCTTGTCTTGTTCTAAGATGCGAATTCCAATGTGGTGGTTCAAGGCCAGAAAAACAGGTTTAAATGAAGCAAAGGTCGAGGAAGGCATGGAACTTGACCAGTTCCACGTTCGTATTCTGTTGCCAGCTTGGTCTGAATATTGGCCTCCCAGGACGTTGATGTAGACCCTGGGAGGAAATTAGAGTCACTGATGGGAGAGCTGCGTGTGGTGGCCTCATACTTGCAATCACAGAGGGCTGTGGTGGGACAGGGTGAGACCTTGGTTTGAAAAACCACGGAAGCCGGGCGGTGGTGGCCCACGCCTTTAATCCGAGCACTTGGGAGGCAGAGGCAGGCGGATCTCTGTGAATTCGAGGCCAGCCTGGTCTACAAGAGCTAGTTCCAGGACAGGAACCAAAAGCTACCGAGAAACCCTGCCTCGAAAAAATAAAAATAAATAAATAAATAAAAGAAAAACAACCGAAAAAGCCCTACGAGTGGTAGCTCTGTAATTCAAGGCTAAATTATCCCTACCATTTCCTAGCCAAGGCAGATGGGTGTCGAGGTCTCTAGGTAACTTAGTGACGCTACTCACTTTACACTATTTGGAGTACTGGGTTCAAATCGAAGCATACTGATAAACTGATATAAAAAGGCCGTGTGTGTGTGTGTGAGAGAGAGAGAGAGAGAGAGAGAGAGAGAGAAGGAAACCTGGAGGTTTCCTCTGGGAAAAAGGATACAGAGGGGAAGCTATTTCTGAGAGACATGGGACCAATGCTTAGATTTTCATCAGGCCAAAATGCAAGACCGCGGATGTAAATTTGGGGGATGCCCAGAGTACTCCTTGTGCAAGAGAGCGGACACAGCTAAAAGTCAAATACCCTTCCTTTTATAATTCTTTTCTTGGGGGGTTAGAGGGTGCTGGTGGCTGAAGCCGAGGTGTTGGCCATGTATGTTTGAGCTCTCCCACTGGGCTGCACCACCAGCCGTTAAGTACGAGGCTTTTGGGGTCTGGGTATGGAAAACAGGGGTTCAGGGGTACGTCTGAGTGCGTGGCAACGGAGAGAAGTTCTCCAGCAGAGCAAAGATAAGCAGTGCTCAGATGAGGTGGGCTTCTCCAACCGTGTGCATTGCCAAATAGTCCCGCTTGCTCGGAGGTTTTATGGCACTCATCACCGTGACAGTCTACTGGGCAACCTCATTCCCATGCTCCCTTACCATTTTCAGCGGAGGTAACCACCCCTACCGTGAAAAGAGGTCTGTATTCTGAAAGGTTTGGCTAGATTTGACAATGCCCACGAGGGCCCCAGGAATAAGGGAACTTACCTCTTGTTTCTCCAGCACTGACTGATCACTGACCCTAACCTGACAGCAAAAGAAATGAGAAACCAGGAGGATGCCCTACAGGAGCCGGGAAGGGGCGATTTCACACAGCAGGATTTGACTGAACTGCTCTGAATCAGTTCTTTGATTATTCTTGGAGCTTATACCTTAATTTTAATCTATATTTAGCTATGTAAGGATAAAGATTTGGGATACGCCTTCAAGGAACTTCAGGCTACAGAGAAAGGAGACTTACTTCATAGAGGCAGGGAGAAGGGGCTTTGGGGATGGCAGGGACCAGTCAGAGTGCTCAAGAATTCAGCTCACAGAGTTGGGGGCCCCTGAAATCATCTGGTCTCTATGGGAGACAGTTATTGTAACACTACACCAAATGTAGCCCAGACTGACTATTTGAATCTGGAAGGATAACTAGAGATTTCCCATTGTACATGGTGTTAGCGGATCCGTTGCTACCGTGGACTAGAAATACAAACGCTTCACTGCATCCCAACTTTGTCAGCAAGGTCCAAAGTCTGCCAGTTGTTGTCAGTTTCCCAAGTGACATTATATACCCACAGATAATTTAAAATCCAACTACGGTGGCTTACATCTGTAATCTAGCTAACCTAGTACTTGGAAAGCTGAGGGTCACAAATTTAAGGCCAGGCTGCTCTGTAGAGGGAATTCCAGTCTGGCCAGGGTTACAGAGTGAGGCTGTGTCTACACACACACACACACACACACACACACACACACACACACACACCTTTCTGAAAGGCTTAAATTGTGTTTGAAGTTAGAACCCAAGTGTTTTTTTTTTTCAGATTAAATGGAATAATATGAACTTATACAGTGTATATACTGGTAAATTATAAGGGAATCAAGACCTTTCCACAGAGATTAAAATCTTTATATTATGATGTGTGTATGCCTGAGGTGCGTGTGGTGGGGGTTGCCTGTGAGCCACAGCGTGAGTCAGGAGGTCAGAGGATGACTCCCTGCAGTCAGTTTCCTCCTTCCTCCCTTCTGTGGATCCCAGGCTAGAATGGAAATGCCTTCCCAGGCTTTGTGGCCCCAGAGGTTTGCATATTATTGTCTGGCATGGCTGCAGGAAGCTCACTAGCTGAGAATGTATCTCAGACAGTAAGCAACCCAGCATTGTGTGTCTCTGAGCTATGTTACTTTCTAAAGACCGCTAACTTGAAGAAATCTTTCTAAAGCCATTCTTATTAGAGTAGAAAACAGAATCAAAAACAAAATAGCAGCAAGGGCCTGAGAAACCTACCAGACATTTCCATTAGGGTGATAGCAGGAGCTTCTCCCAGAGGAGTTGAGCACCGCCAGGATTGCGGGGTTGGTGGATGTGTCTTCTTGGACAATACAAGTGAAGCCATTTGTCTTGTTGGGCACCTGGATAATGGCCAGATTTCCAGATGGATAGCTGAGGTCAGATAAGGTCCTGTGACATTTCTAGTGATCCTGGACTATGCGTGGAATAAAGTTAATTTATGAGGAGCTTTTTGAAATTATGAAGCATTCTGAAAAGGTCGCTGTTTTAATACAAAAGAAATTTATGCTTTTATATGGATGAAAATATATTTATGAAAGGTAAAAATTCTCAACAAAGTGGTAAGAAATAGAATTAGAGATATGGAAGAGGATTGTGCATCATGATAAAATTAAATTTATCCCAAAAGATATAAGGGTGATTCAACATTGAAAATCAACAAATAAAATAAACTGCATTAGTAGGATAGAAAGCAAAAAGAGCATGGCCATCTCAATAGGTACAGAAAAGTCTTCTGAAAAACCAATACCGCTTCCTGATAAAAAAGACTTAGTAGTTCTCAAATAGATGAGAACATCTTCAGCCTACCAAAGGGCAGTCACAGAAATACCGCAGGCTAGCAGTCTGCTTCATGGTATGCTTTCCCGTTAAAGTGAGAACCCAAGCAAAGATGTCCATTCCCACAATTTCCCATGCTTAATATTCATATTACAATTTTATCTGTTTATTTATTTGTGTATATGTATATGTGTGTGTGCCACAGAGTGCATGCATACAGAGGATGGAGAACGACTTGCAGGACTGGGTTCTCTCTCTCTCTCTCTCTCCACTGTGTGGGTCCTGGCAAATTGAACTCAGATCACCAGGCTTGGTGGAAAGTTACCTACCATCTTGCTGGCCCCTTCTGGGTCAATTTTACATGAACGTCCTAACCATGGAAAATTTAGGAAAGGAAAATGTCTAGATTGGAATGGAAGGTAAAAAGCATACTTGGGATCTGTGTATACAGAAAGCCTTAGGGACACAGCGAAACAAAACTTTAGAACCAGTGAGTGAGTTCAGGGGGACTGTCACCGTGGGCTGCAAGACAAAATCAACTCGGTTTCTTTATCTTAGCAGAGACCATTTGAAAATGGAATAAAGAAAACCATCCCTCTTGCAGTAGCATCCAAAAGAAAGCCCGCCGAGCATGTCCAGGGGTGTTAATTGGGTCTGTGTGCAACGGCTATTCAGAAACAAGGGTAATCAAGACTGATTTCGAACATCAGTCACAGCCTCTAAGAGTGCTAAGAATTAAAGTCGCGACCCTGAAACAGAAGTAAAAGTTGGCACCTGCGTTCTCTCTCATGGGGACTCCAGCTTTGTCAAGTACAGCTGTGAATGTGTTTTCCTGGTTTATGTTTAGGGTTTGCCTAAACATCTGGGACACTGACCGAAAACGACAGGAAGCACTCAGTTCATGAAAAGTTCTCTTTGGGTTTTTGTTTCTTTTCTCCAGAGACTCTGGGTGGCTTTTATGCCCAAACTCTATGGGCTGCCTGTCTGAGTGGCCTATGGCGAAGTGGTTAGTGACTTAGTTCGTGGGTGTATTAACTGGTCTGTGGTTTGGGGGGTAAAAAATATCAGAGCTGGAAATGCTCAAATTTCTCATCTAGAATTTCTTCTCTTAGGGATTGAACTCAAGGAAGTGTGTTGTAAGTGTGTAGCAGGTAAGGCAGAGAGCTGTCCCCACGATGGGCTCACGGACTCAGCACTGTCTGGTACAAAAAGTGGAGTGTCTCAATGTCAATCACATTTTATATTCCCTAACCATTATATAAAAGAACCAGTTCAAAGGGAAATATATGATATTTATATGCATATATTTATCTCATTAATATGGAAGCTTACAGACTCAGGGCGGTATAAGGGAAGGTGTATTTCAAATGTCATCTGCTTTTCTCTGGATGGTAGAATTCTGGGAGTATGTGTGTATTTTCTGTAGCCCCCCCCTCCCCCCCCATTCTCTCTCTTTTCTGTCCTGTCTTTTCTGTTTGGTCCTCCCTCTCTCCTTTCATTTTCTATTGGGATTAACACCAAGGCCTAGCACATGTGACCTGTCACAAACCTCCTCCCCAGCTCTTTTGTGATTTTTGATTTTGGGATTGGTTCACTCTAATTTGTCCAGGCAGGTCATGGACTTGCTATCTTCCTGCCTCATCTACCACCTCAGCCTCCCCCACCTCAGAATCCTCCTCTACCTCAGCCTCCCATACCTCAGCTTCCCCCACCTCAACCTCCCCCACCTCAGTTTCCCTCACCTTGACCTCCCTCACCTCAGCCTCCCTCACCTCAGCTTCCCACACCTCAGCCTCCCAAGTAGCTGAGGCTACAAGCCTAGGCCATCAGGCCCTGCCTGTTTACCTTCATGGGAAGTAAAGCTAATACAACAACGTATGGAAAGAAAGGATACAATATTTGTGTTGTCCCGTCTGGAAAGGAGGTGAGAAACTTGCTTCCGTGCTTGTAGTGCTTCTCCAAGAGTTCGTTCTTCACGATCTGCAGGTACGGCAAACAACATTAACTGCTGGCTGCTGACGTCACCCACGGAGCAAACCATTTCCTTACTTCCTGTGCTTAGCCCTGCTTCAGCAACATGGGACAGTCAGCAGCAGTGGTTTACAGATCATTTGAACGCCTGCAGTGTAGCGTAATAAACCCCTTCTCATCGCTTACCTATTGAAAGTTTTATTTTTTCGTGTATATTACCATAAAAAAAAAAAACAAAAGAAGACAAACCAGTCACACCACAATGGTAACAATCATTTCCTTATTGTAAGGCGTTCACACATCTGTGGAAGCGCTGGGCTGAAGGGGTATTTTATAAATCTGACCTACTTCGCTGTGGAGTAATCTTTTAGTACACCATGAAGATGTGTCTTTGCCAAGGTGCCCTCTGATTAGTTTAATAAAGAGCTGAATGGTCATTAGCTATGCGGGAAGAGGTTAGGCAGGACTTCTGGGTCCAGAGAACTCTGGGAAGAAAAAAGGCGGGGTCACGAGCCAGTTTGCAGAGACAGAGCAAGGCATGCAGGAGGGGAAAAAGCCACGTGTTACATAGTAGCAGGTAGGTGAGTAGAAATGGGTTCATTTAAGTTTTAAGAGCTAGCGGGGCAAGCCTAAGGTATAGGGTGAGCTTTCAAAATTAATAATAAGTCTTCAAAATTAATAATATGCTGTTCTTTGTGAGCTGGTGGCCCAAAGAACAATCCATCTACACTGCTTTATTCACCTTTCCCCTGTGTTGGGGATTGAACCCAGGGCCCTGCATGGGCTAGGCACTTTCTACCCAGCTACCTCCCCAGCAATAAGCCAGTGAGAAGACAGTGACGACACAGGAAGATGACCATCGTGGCTCCAAGTCCAACCCCTTTTATATGGAAGTTCAGTGTGAACATGAATCCGTAGCTGATAATGCTGATGATAGACTGAGGATGTGGTTTAATTCTCCTGATCTTGGTTTGCACTAAAATGGGACAAGAATTCCTAGGGTGAAATGATCTAATTTTTGGATGGACATTGTCATTTACTTTGAAAACTTATTGTTCCATTTGGAAATGATAGCCTCTCTAAAAGTGTGTGTGTGGGGGGGAAGGCTATCGTTTCCAGAAGCTATGAAATATGGAATTTCCAGACAAGCGCCACAGGATGTTATTTCAGCAGCGAATAATTGTGAAACAAACGCTGTGCCATGACCACACAAGGTCCTAAATGGAACCAGAGGTTCCAGTAGTCTCCTACTGTGCTCCCCCTAGTGTGCACAGGCCAGTGTGCCCACGCCAGTGTGCCCACACCAGTGTGCCTACCCTGGTGTGCGCAGCCCAGTGGGCCAAGTACAGTATCAACACTCTGCCAAGATGCATCTGACAGTGTGATTTTATGGTAATTTCTGTGTACTTCTGTATGTTCGTCATTTAGATGTTCTCTTTTTTAATGTTCTATATATGGTGTGTGGTAGTTTGAATAAAAATGACCCCCATAGCCCCATAGGGCACTATTAGGAGCTGTGGCATTGTTGGAGTAGGTATGGCCTTGTTGGAGGAAATGTGTCACTGGAGCTGGGCTTTGAGGTCTCAGATGCTCAACCTATACCCAATGTGACAGTCTCTTCCTGCTACCTCCAGATCTGGACGTAGAACTCTCAGCTACCTCTCCAGCAGCATGTCCACCTGCATGCAGCCATGCTTCGTGCCATGATGACAACGGACTAACCCTCGGAACTGTAAGCCAGCCCCAATTAAATGTCTTCCTTTATAAGAGTTGCTGCGGTCATGGTGTCTCTTCACAGCAGTAGAGATGCTAAGATAGCTAGGATCATCTGTTGTAATTGTCAGGTCCTCTTTCTTCTCAAGGGAAGACCCCTCTCCTTGAGCCGCTGCGCTGCAGTGTCTTTGATTTGCTCGTGGTTTTCTACACCTGTTTGCCACTGCTCATTGTGGGTGAGGGACCCCAGGTTTCTCCATCTTTTGGCTGATAGAAGCCCGGATAACTAGAACATTCTTAGGCATGCCTGCATGCTGGTATTAAGTTCCTGTCAGGTGTGGCTCCACCAAGGTGACTTTATAGTTCTGTGTCACATCCCATGGCACAGCAAATGCTGGTCGGCTACTGTCCGGTCCGCTCCCCAAAGCTCAGCTCTATCAGAGTTTATACTGTTGCCAGTGTGGTTAGTGTGAAATGAATTTTCATTTCTCGGGTGACGAAGGAAGTTGAACAGGCTTTCGTATGATTTCAGTCATCTGCATTTTCTCTCGTGAAAAGTTTCCGTTTGAGTTCTTGGCAAAGGGCTCACTTTTCTGTAGGATCCACTTTTGTGTTTCTTTGTTTTGTTTCTGACAGAGGGTCTTACTATATAGCCCTGGTTAACTAGAAACTCGCTATGTAGACCAGGCTGATCTTGAACTCACAGAGATCTGCCCACCTCTGCCTCCTGCCACTGGGATTAAAGGTATGCACTGCCACACCTGGAAAAATTAACTTTTTCATCTTGGTTTTTAAAAATTCTTTGTAAATTTAGGGTATAAAACCTTTCTTTATATGTCATATGTAATTAAATGATTCTTCATTTTTTGGTTTTTTGAAATCTTAAATTTAATTAATCAAGGGGCTGGAGAGATGGCTCAGCGGTTAAGAGCATTGCCTGCTCTTCCAAAGGTCCTGAGTTCAATTCCCGGCAACCACATGGTGGCTCACAACCATCTGTAATGAGGTCTGGTGCCCTCTTCTGGCCTGCAGGCATACAGGCAGACAGAACACTGTATACATAACAAGTAAATAAATAAATATAAAAAAATTAATTAATCAAGTCCTTGGCAATGTATGTAAAATACACTCTTCTTAGAACCCAGTTTTTGTAGGAACTCCTTTGGCCAATAGCCTTTAAGGTACCGGCCCATTTCAGGCGTGGCCTCATGTATTATAAATGCAGATGAAAAGCGGGTGTGGGTCTCTTGGCTGCTGGATTCGGTTCCAGTTCCCAGCACAGGCAGAGGACTGCGGATTGCTGCTCTTTCTGTGAGTTTATCCCCAGATAAATAAACCTTTGTTATACTCCATTAAGGGCTTTTGTGAAACTCTTTTGTAAGCCAACAACCTGTGGGGATTGCATTGGGTCATTTAAGAAAAGAGTGTCCCCTTTAAAATTCTTCCTCCTTAACTACAGGAACGTGGAGGTGCACTGCAAACTAGAACACTTCAAATGCTAACACAATTCTGAGGAAGTAAGGTTAGGACTTTGGTGATGTTTCCTCCCGCCTTTTAATTTTTTAAGAGTTCCAGATGGTCTTTAATGTACAACTATCACATTTTAAGGCCAAAAGGCTTTAACTAAGAACATTATTAATAAGACATAAAGTGTAGAAACAGTTGCAATCCCAAGTCTGTACCAGTTATTTTTGAGAAATAGCAATGGGCCATGCAGTGAAGCTCCGTGAGAACTTTTATTTGTTTTAAGCAAAACTGTCTTAAAAAAAATCAAGCCGGGCAGTGGCGGCACACGCCTTTAATCCCAGCACTCGGGAGGCAGAGGCAGGCGGATCTCTGTGAGTTCGAGACCAGCCTGGTCTACAAGAGCTAGTTCCAGGACAGGCTCCAAAGCCACAGAGAAACCCTGTCTTGAAAAACCAAAAAAAAAAAAAAAATTAAAAAAAAATCAAAAACAAAATTTGTAAAAGAATTACCTTTCCACACATTTTCCTGGAATCACAGCAAGTGATGGAGATGTTCCCCATCAGAATATCATCTTCTTCTTTGTCATAGATCTTTTCCAGCAAATCCAGAGAAAGCTGGTAAGAAATTGTCTTCAAGGGCTTTGTATCTGTGGGAGAAAAAAGTCGCAGGAAAGCACATACATGCTTTGCCTTAAAAAAAAAAACTTTATAATAAAATTCAAGCCCTTTGGCAAATGCATCGATTTATCACACTTTTTTTAATGGAAGAAAAATAAGGATATCTATTAAATTTAAATTAGGAAGAGGTTCTTTGATTTAAAAATGATCATAATTTTCTATTAAATAGAAAATGAAAATTCCTCTGAGAGAGTTTTTATTATGAGGAATTTCTAGGCTTTGAGTTTCTCCCTCCCTCCCTCCCTCCCTCCCTCCCTCCCTCCCACTCTCCCTCTTTTCTTTCCTTCCTCCCTCTATCCCTCACTCCTTCCTTCCTTCCTTTTTTTCTTTCATTTTTTTGGGGACAGGGTCTGAACTATATAGTTCTGACTGCTTGGAACTCACTAAGTAGACGAAGCTGATCTCAAACTCCCAGAGTCTGACCGGAGTGCTGGGATTAAAGGTGTGTGTGTCCCCATGCCTGGTGGCCTTTAGTTTCAATAAGAAACAGTGAATTTCAAGACCCCCCCTCTAATATTAGATATTTAGTTACAAAAATACAAACTGAACTGACTACTCTTAAGTTCCTCTTCAATAACAGAAGGACCTTGCTGCTGACTGAGAAAGTTATTTCTTCTAAATACTATGTATGATTTCTGGCGCGAAACTCATCTGCTCCTGTTCTGTACCCGCCCTGACTAGTTCTGGCAAGTACAAGAAGAAAGCATTCAAATGTCTTTTAACAAACTTTCCACATCCAAGTTTGAGGAAAAGAGTGAAACGTGAAACATGTGCTTCCTAACACCAGAGACACAAGCTTGACAATGCTCAGTCACTGTCTAGGCAGTGCTCTGGGGATGTTCCTGGATGACAAAGATTAAGAACTCTAAAGCCAGAGAGCCTAACCCCGGGTGTCTTGACCCATTTCACCCATAGACACAGACTCTATGACACTTTCAAATGAACGCACTCAGCATTTCTGTAACATGTACTGATTTTATGCCTCGGCTCAACATCTGAGCTTTCTGATGCCGAACAGCATCCCCGACAACATCCTTACCGTCTTCAGTTAACGGGGTGCTCGGTTCATGGGAGACTATTGCGAAGTGTCTGGCCATTTGACGTTCTTGTTTTCTACAAAATCAAAACCATCAAGCGTAAATCGGAACTGTGGTTGAAAGCGGGAATAGTCTACTACAAATTTCAACTTCTCAAGTACCATCCTTTGCTATTTTCATCTGTTATCACTTATAAATCCAGTTTACGTCATCAGAGCATGGGAGTGGGCTTATGGGGCAAATTTCTCGAGCATAGGAATTTTGAATTGCCCTGATAATTTATAATTGACAATTTCTACTTTAAGCCATTGAGCTCACTAGGTTCTATCTCTACTATCATCATCATCATCATCATCATCATCATCATCATCATCATCATCATTATCAATACCATCATCATCATCATTATCATAACCATCATCATCAACATCATCATTATTTAGTATCTGTGTATGTGGTGATAGGGATTCAATTTAGGGCCTTGTGTATACAAGGGAATCATTCTTGAACTGAGGTTCTTCTTGGAACTTTTGAATCTCATGACATCCACCAGGAATATTATAATGAGTTTGCTTTAGTTCATTTCTATTTCTTTATACGAAACATATCCTCATAATTATGTATTTTGAGAGACCAGGGTTCATTTTATGAGATGCTCCTTGGTTAGTGTTTCCTGTCTGGCTCAGTACGAGGACCCTGCCTTACCTCTGTATGGCTTTTTCCTTTGCCTTGAGTCTATCTACATCACTGCCATGGGCTGCATGAGGATGAATACTGATTAAGTCCGTTTTAGCACTTTGGATGTTTAGCCTTTCCTTATTGATATAATCAAGAAGATTTTGTAACTGAAGACAACAGAAGGCCTGAAAGACAAAGAGGGTATGATCCAGTTATGGGTAAGAAATAGGTGAAGAGAATCAGAGGGGTAAAACCCCCAAACCACCAATGAGATATGGATAACACCTGGACCAAAGGTGGGAGAATTCAAGCCTATTCCTAATATCATGTTATTGAAGTCTGTTGCCTCCCCCGCTCCCCTTTTAGAGGGAAGTATATAAGCTGGTGGAAAATAAATGTGGATGGTCCAGTGTTCGGTGGATTTCCCTCCGGATGCTGTTCTGTGTTTCTGCCTTTTATTTCTCTCCTATCTCTGTTCCTTTTGCTTAATAATCTAATCCTCATGCTCCTGCCCTAGTGCATGTGAATTTCGTTGAGGCTGGACACCGGCTGTTCTGGGATGACGTGTGTGTGCCCCAACACCAGGCTGGACCCCGACAATTCCGGGATGACGTGTGTGTGTGTGCCCCGACACCAGGCTAGCCAGCTCTGTCAACCCATTCCTCTCGGTCTTTTATATGATATCTGTCCTAGTGAATGCGATGGTTGTGATTGGCATCTCCTTGACAGGTAACACACAGGCCTTAAGAAAAACCACATAAGGGAAAGAGGCAGGGGAAAATACTACATGCATTACAGTTCCTCGGTCAAACCTTTAGAACTAACTTACACGCTTTGGGTGCTCAGTGTCAGTGTTGTCAGAGCAAATGTCCATATCGGAAAGGAGCGATTGTAGGACACTTCCACAGAATTCACACTTGAGGACTAGGTCTTCTTCATCCTTCAGAGAAAGGGAGAGAAAGAGAAAGGAAGTGAAGAAGTGCCCCGGGGGCCCAGCAGACCTAGGGGCAACTGGAGTAGCTTTCTGGGCAGTGAATATCTATCAGGGCAACAAAGGCAGTGGGAGATGGGCCGATTCATCTGAGAACACTTGTCACTGACATACCTGATGGGGACTTTTTAAGGGTCTGAGGTTTTGTGGCTGAAGGGATCGAGCTAACAAGGTCCGTGTAGTCTAGTATGTGGCATCACTTCCGCCCAAGGGCTAGAAGGGAAGAAGCTGCCTGAGATGTGTTTGGAGTGCTGTTCTCTGGTACTGCTTGTGTGGCAGAGCTCAAATTGACCATGTACAATTGCAACTTTCTATAGTCAACCAGAGTCTTTCCTTCAGGGGGACCCCTGATTGGGGTTCTGAACTCCACAAGGAAATCCAGGAAGAAAAGAAACAGATGAGGGGAACAAACAAAATGGAAGTCAGGGTGGCTCGGGTAAGTTTCTTCTGAGGGGTTCCTGAACTGGGGCCATGTTGGTAATTCAACACATCTACGATTGCAGGGGATCCTGGGCAGGTGAGTAGCTGTGCCTCAAAAAAAAAATCCTCTAGGGCAAGACTCAGAGGTGCCTTTCAGATCATAAACAGCCCTGGCACATCTGTGTTTGCCATCTAAGCTGTCCTCTGAGACAGGAAAAGTACCCAGTTATCAAGGTGATGGTCTTAGCTGGTGCCGCTGGGGATTGGCCACTTGAGTATCTGTAGGCATTTGAAACCGTCCTACAACAAACTCGACGCCCTGTCAACAGCAGAGTGCTGAGTGGGCAAAGCCTTGCATTGGAGAGGTGCTGGTGGAAAATACGGGGCCACCCTGAAGTGATGACTGTTTCTGTACCAGGGACTCGGTGGTACATCCTTTGGCTCACGATTCTTTCACCCCTCCACCTGAGAATGAAGCAAGACAGATCCCTTGGAAGACCACGGGTGGCAGTGGACTCTTCATAGGAAAAGTGTGGGGAGAGGAGGGTTAGACAGGCCAGCTACCACCGCTCCTGAACGCAACTCATGGCAATGCTACCTGCAGTGTCTGCCTCCAGAGCCGGAGGAGCCAGCCTTGTCTAGGTCAGGACATCCCCCTGGAGAAGAAGCCATAAGGTCTTTTTTTTTTTTTTTTTTTTTTTTTTTTTTTTTATGGTCAAGTCCATCTCTGTGTCAGAGGAAGACTGTAACCCCACTACCTCCAGAGACTTCTCTGGATAGAAGCCCTTCTGGCTCAGAGGAATCAAAGCGCTCGGTTCAGGTAAAAATTGCAGTCCGAAGAGTCTAGTTTGCAGACCTGAATGAACAGCTGTTGGTGATAAGTTGCGCGGTATTTAACGCGTTGCCCTTTATTAATACCACACGGTTCAACTGCTGTGCACAATGGCAATGAGCTGCACATCAGTGCGTTCACACAGGGTCTCATCGGTCCTGCACATGTGCTGTGTTCATGGGGCACAGCTGGGGCCTCCTTACCCACACACAAAACATCACCTAGCATATGCCAGAAGAAGTTGTCTAGGGGATTGGGATCTGGGAATGGGCATTCCCTTCACAAGGTCATCTGCTAGCTAGGCTTGGGGATGACCATTTTACCAGCGATTCCGTCACCGCACAGGAGTGGAAGGCGGTGCCCTAGCTCACTGGAGTCACTAATGAAACCTTTGTCTAGCTTTTCAAACACAATCCGTAACTGGTCCCTTAATGTCATTGAACATGTCAAAGGTCCACCTGTGTTTGCTTTGTGATCACTATCGTTGGTTGAATTGTGTCTTCTTAGAAGGTATGTTGAAGGTCTAACTTCTGGTACCTGGGAATGTGACTCTATTTGGTCTTCATGAAGGCCACCAAGTTAGAATGAGGTTATCAGAGCAGGCCTTCATCTAGTATTATTAGTGTTGTCAGTAGAGAAGGACCTTTGGACCTAGGGACCCAATAAGAAACCAGCAACAACTGAGGCAGAGACTGGCAGGGTGCAACTACCAGCCAACAATGGCCACACATTGCCCCCCAGTCCTTAAAGAGGAAAAAGCGAAGAGAGAGTCTTATTACAGAGGTGACCCTGTTGATATCCGGACCCAGACTTCGAACCTCCGGAGCCATAGTGCAGAGGTTCTTTTGTTTTCCAGACTCAGTTATTAAGACTTAGGAAACCACCGCGTGCTTTTCCAAGTAAAGACACCCTTTGCTTTGATTCTTTAAAGGTCTGTTCACATCCGTGGTACAAATCACTGTGTGGCCCCATGCCATCCTTTACAGAAATAATAAGACTTATGAACTGAAGTTACCTTGATGCTAATGTCCAGACAGGGAATGTCTTTTCTATATGACAGCAAGGGCGGAGGCCCAACGCTGGCTAGTGTCCTTAGAGGAGATTCAAAGAATTTTACAAACTCTTCATGATACTAAATATTAAGAAGAGAGGGGGAAAAATTAAAGATTGAATAAGTTGCTTTACAACAAGCACAGTGCATTGGTTGTTGTGGTAAATAGCTCTCACCTCCGTCTCACATAAAATACTTAGTCTCGGCTCTTCAGGATTAATTACCCATGTTCCTGAAGAGAAAGGATAGGTTCAGATGAGAAATTGCAACCGTTGTGCTGTGCGTTCTGTTGTCCTCTAGCCTAGAGATCCTCGCCCGTCCTGACCTCATAACCCTATCTACTCAAACACAAATAGGTATGTATGTGCCCACACACAGCCTAAGCCCTTCATCTGCCCTGCCTGCCCGTGTACATCTGTCTTTTCCAGCAAAGCAAACATCCACTTACCTCTTAGCTTAGAAGCCGGCGTTTCTGGTTGCACCTCCTTTGTTTCTACGGGTGGTACTTTTTCTAAAAATAGAATAAGAGAGAAAGTATATATGTACTTATCATCAATTTTGAAAAAGGAGAAACAAGTTAAATAGGAAGAAAAATAAAATAGAAAAATAAATGCCTATGTTTGTTTCAATTTCAAATGTCCCCCCCCCCCCTTTGTAAATAAGAATTGAATAAAGACACACATGGGGGTCAGCTCTTTGGGAAGATAATGATACACAAATTTTCACACACCAGGGCCACTTTATTGGTTCCTAGTTAGCTTTAGCTACAAACTTAACACAGCCAAGAGTTGCCTGAGAAAGGACTATCAATCGAGGGACTGAATGGGCCAGATTCACTGGTGGGCATGCGCCTTAATTTTTTATTGCTGTGCTAAGACATCATGTTCCAGGCAGTGTATAGAAGAAAGAAGAATTTATTGGTGGCTTACAGTTTCAGAAACTGAGCCCATGACCATCATGGCCGGGAGCATAGAAGCAGGCAGGCAGGCAGGCATGGTGCTAGAACATTAGCTGAGATTTTCCATCCTTACCTGAAAGCGGGAGGCAGAGACACCTCACTGGGAATGGTAGGAGTTCTTGAAACCATCGAGCCCATCTCCAGTGACACATCTCCTCCAACAAGGCCACACCTCCTAATCCTTTCCAAACAGTTCCACCAACTGGGAACCAAGGATTCAAATGTACGAGCCTATGGGGAGGGGGGCATCCTCATTCACCCACCTCAGCATGTCTATGGGGGGTTGTCTTGGTTGCTAATTGAGGTAGAAGGGTCAGCCACTGTGGGTTTTCTCTTTCAAGACAGGGTTTCAGTGCATATCTCTGGCTGTCCTAGAACTCAGTATGTAAACCAGGCTGGCCTTGAACTCACGAAGCTCTGCTTGCCTAGACTTTCTGAATACTCCGACTAAAGGTAAATGCCACCATGCTTGTCTCAATGGCAGGTTATTTCTTGATGAATACAAACACTGCCAATTATCAAATACTGTGTACCGATGACTTTAAATATCTAATCTCATTTTGATGATCAGCACTTCTGTGTCACTAGTTCTGCTGAGAGATAAGGTGACTGAGGCTTGATGAGATGAACAGATTGGTCCAGTATCTCAATGTTTATTTACACTACCTGGATTCATCATCAGCCCTGCTGCCCTTCCACACTGGTTGATTTTCCAATTTGCAATCCAACCCCCACCCAGCAATAGCTAAGGAATCAAAATACTCACTTGGTTCCTTCTTAGAAATTTGTTGAAGCCAACTTTCTTCTGTTTGTATTGATATCTGAACTCTTTCATACAAACTTGGGTACATATCTCTGAAATTTAAATCACAATGTTATATGGTTGTTAGCAGATCTACTCTCTATAGTATATTTTCAGCTGAATGACATATTCTTATAGAAAGTTCTGATGTTTTCTTTGAAATATTTTCTTCCATTCCTATATTTTCAATAAAGTTAAACAGGACTTGTGAATCAAATCAATTCCTTGGAAAGCCTTCCTTCCTGGGAGTCGTCAGGTTTGAGGTCCATGAGAGACAGTAAGAGGACTGACCTTCTGGGTAAGAGTTATATTTGGAGTTACTGAATGCTGTAGACAGACAGCATGGTGGGGGTCCTGAAGACAGTACAGGCCCGTGAAGTTAAGTGGTAAGCAGGAGGCCCCATGCCATGTCAACCATAGTGTATATTGTCTCTGATTACCAGCAATGGCAGAAAGCGGGAAGGATGTGGCCTTTCATCTATCACACAGGATGTGACCTGTAACTCCTGGGGGCTTGTGGTACATGCTAAACATTTTCTGAGGAAGTGAGGATCACAGACTCCTAGAGAGCCACAGGAGAGTGCCTGGCATTTCTTTCACAGCAGCTGTGAGGGTGAGAAAGAGATTGCTGTAGGTGAGCATAGCCCGAGTAGGCCCAGCTCAAACGCTGTAGGTGAGCATAGCCCGAGTGGGCCCAGCTCAAACGCTGTAGGTGAGCATAGCCCGAGTAGGCCCAGCTCAAATGCACTAGGTGAGCATAACCCACGTAGGCCCAGCTCAAATCCGGTAGGTGAGCATAGCCTGGGTACACCCAGCTCTCCCCTGACTCTTTCTAGATCCTAGAGGTTGCTAACGTCATCTCTTCCCTGTAGGGATTTACTAGCTCTGTACCTGCCTGCACATGTGTGGAATCCATATGGCTTGTGCTAGTGATGTGCACATTTAAACCTTTGCATGAATTTAAGTTCACACTGCATCTCATTTAGTTTAAAATCAGTACAGGGCTGGGCACGTTGGACAGGCATCAAGGCACAAGGGTGAACTCCAGTTTCAGTGAGACTGTCTCGGGAAAAACAAGGTGGAAAGCAATAAAAAGAGATACTACTGGCCTCCACACGCTCATGCAGGCCTGACTGTACCTGTGCACAAACATGCGTACATGTACTGCGCACACACGTGTGTGCGCACACACCTACTGCACACACACCTACTGCACACACATGTGTGTGCGCACACACATTTTACAGACTTCTTGTTTGCTTATTTGTTTTTCAAGACAGGGCTTCTCTGTGTAGCTTAGCTGTCATGGAACTTGCTCTGTAGACCAGGCTGACCTTGATCTTACAGATTTGCCTGAGCAAATTAAAGGCGTGGTGGCGCACGCCTTTAATTCCAGCACTCGGGAGGCAGAGGCAGGCGGATCTCTGTGACTTCGAGACCAGCCTGGTCTACAGAGCTAGTTCCAGGACAGGCTCCAAAACCACAGAGAAACCCTGTCTCGAAAAGAAAAAAAAAAAAACAAAAACAAAAAACAAAAAAAACCAAAAAACAGATTTGCCTGTCTTTGCCTCCTGAATGCCAAGAAATTATACAAACTTTCTAAAAAGCGCTGATGTTAAGGAACATGCACGGTAATCAAACAACTCTAGTGTAACAAGCAAGCATTGCGTTTCAACCTCCCTTGCGTCTTTGCATTTTAATCAAATGATTGTGTTTTCTGAAACGATCGAACAACATTTGTTTCAATTAGTTCGTGTGGCATCGGTGCCTCTTCACCACAGGTCAGCTGTGTTTTCACCTGCCTCCCTGACACTCCGTTCCTGGCACATTGCATCAGTGACCTGCGTTTGTTTTTCGGTTCTGAAATGACTGTGTCCTAGAATAGGCAAAGAACTCCTCTGTGGAGGCCTCTCGGGCAAGTCTCCGAGGCGATCCTGTTTATCTAACCTTCCTGAGAGACAAGCTGCGGGGACTACTACACGAGAGGGAAATCCCCAGACATGTACTGTGTATTTCCCTCGCGATGCAATAGCTACCAAAAATGAATACATTTTTTTTTTTTTTAAATTTAAGTATCCTTGCCTTCCTTAGTTTTCCATCAGATATTGTTTATGGAACTGCTAGGTGGAAGATAAATGAGGATGGCCACCGAATTCACTCTGTGGAGAGCATCCAGCCGTAGGAACGAAGGCTGCTTTGCCTGTGCTGTTTCAATTACCTCCACAAACGCTAATCTAAACCTTGGTATTTCCTTTTCCCTGGCAAGGGAGTGGAAGCCCATGCAGATGAAGGGACATCCACGAGAGTCAGAGAGGCTCTTCCCTTGGTCCAAAGCTTGTCTTGTCACTTTCATCTGTGTCTCACTCTCGTCCCATTGCTGAGAAGAGACACTAGGACCAAGGCAAGTCTTATAAGTCATCCAATTGGGGGCTTGCTTACAGTTTCAGAGGGTTAGCCCACGGTCATCATGGTGGGGGGCTGGCAGGCGTGGGGCTTGCGTGCTTTACGTCCCGATCTTCAGGTACACGAGAGACAGACAGAGTCAGAAACAGAGACTGGGCCTGACATGGACTTTTGAAATCTCAAGCCCATCTCCACTGACACACTTCCTTCAGCGAGGCCACACCTCCTCCAGCAAGGCCACACCTCCTGATCTTTTTAACTTTCTCAAACAGTTCTACTCTGTGATGACTAAGCATGCTAATATGTGAGCCTGGGGGGGGGGCATTCTCACCCAAACCACCAGAGTCTGCCTTCTAAAGTGTGCGCCATTGTAACAAGAGTAACGGTAAGGCAACTGGAAATGGAAGTTGAAGTGATGTTGGTTGCAGTTTTAGGGCATTAAAGAAAAAAAAAACCCACCCCAAATCTCACCAAATTCAGTAAAGACTACTTGAAGTTTGTGTGTGTGTGTGTTTAGTTTTAAAAACATCTTCTTAGATATTTATGAGACACAAGAATCTTGTCTGGAAAAGAGCTTCCCACAGACTTGAAATCACATGGCTGAAGACCTGGACAACATGGCAGCTCAGTACAGAAGGCTTCTTCCTCCTGCAGATCTTACTGAAGAAAAACGCACTCTACACATCTGGCTCTGGAAAGATGCTCTCTTTGGCATGTAAGTAATACTCACCTCCTTAAAGGATATGTCACTGTAGGAGAGAGCAGGATCAGAGCAGAGGAAACGAAAACTTAAAACAAGGGAATTTCTGAGAAATTTCTATCTTCATACAACCAAAAATAGAAAGGAGGGAATGGTGGCTATCATCATAGTAAGTCAAAAAATGACCTTGGAACAGCCAATCAGGAAGGTGTCTTGTTCTTTTATTTGGGGCACCTGACAGCAGTTTTTTTTTCTTTAAAAAATTATCTTAGTTTTTTGTGTATGAGTGATTTGCCTGTGCGTATGCACCTGTACCGTGTGTGTGTGGCTGGTGCCATTTGGAGACCAGGAACTGGCTGGAGTTACAGATGTTTGTTAGGGACCATGTGGGTACTGGGAACTGAACTTGGGTCCTCTTCAAGAACAGCAAGTGCTTTTCATCACTGAGGCCACCTCTCCAGCCCCAGTAGTTTTATTTCTAAAGCAGGGTAAAGAACAGCTTGTTGTTACTGTTGTTGAAAAGTGGTCATATTGCCTGGGCAGTTTTCCTGCTGGATGAGAAACAGGGCAGAGAACACAGCTACTGTTTCAACAAGCTTGAAGGGTGAGAGATGAAGGGCAGGGGTGAGGATGAGAAGAGGAGAGTCAAAGGGCAGGGGTGAGGATGAGAAGGGGAGAGACGAAGGCAGGGGTGAGGATGAGAAGGGGGAGACAAAGGGCAGGGGTGAGGATGAGAAGGGGAGAGATGAAGGGCAGGGGTGAGGATGAGAAGGGGGAGACAAAGGGCAGGGGTGAGGATGAGAAGGGGGAGAGGCAAAGGGAAGGGGTAAGGATGAGAAGGGAGAGACAAAGGGCAGGGGTGAGAATGAGAAGGGGGAGAGGCAAAGGGCAGGGGTGAGGATGAGAAGGGGGAGAGACGAAGGGCAGGGGTGAGGATGAGAAGGGGGAGAGACGAAGGGCAGGGGTGAGGATGAGAAGGGTTTGAAGCAAACTGACCACTAACCCTGGGTCCTTGGGAGCCAATGAGGCAATGTCTTCAGATCTTAAAGGACCAGGCTTTGAGACACAGGCTAGGTTGTATTACTGATAAAGGCTGATGGTAAAATAGACGTTTGCAGGCAGGGAGCAGCTTAGGAATTTGAGTACTCATGAGAACTACATGAAAAATACTATCTAAAGAATTTCCTCAGCCAAAAGAAAGGAAGGAAATGTGGACAACTGGAA